CACACTTGGATGCCACAGTGGCCAGAACAGCCCAGCCAGGAAGATGCCCAGCCGCACCCTGGGCTCTTCCAGGAGAAGCCGTCCTGCCACCCTGTGCTCCTCCCACACCATGGACTGGCCAGCTGTGCGCTCTGCCCGAGCTGCTGCGCCAGAGCCACGTCCCCACGTGGGCCTGGCCAGAAGGCTCTGTACCTTCTCTGAGAACTATGTAGAGCTGATTATTTTTTCTTTTTTGTCTCTCTATAGTAATTATAGTAATGTTTGCGGAGGGTGGGGGTGCTGGTTTCAAGGAAAAAAAGGTGGGGGGATGGAATAGAATTGACCAAGAACTAAAACTGATTATAGATTATATCCCTTAGAATTTATTGGTTTTCAGTCAAGTTTGACTGTGATTGCTTCCCCTCATCTTCTTTCTTTTAAAATTCCCCTTTAAGGGCCTCCCCGGTGGCACAGCAGTTGAGCGCTGGGTTGCAAAGCTGCCCCACAGCCTCTGCAGCACCAGTTTGATCCCCGGCTGCCAGCAAGGGTCCCACATGGTGTGCAGACCCCTCCTGCTGCCCGCTGCTCCCCTCAGCAGTGTATTTCATCAGTCTGCCTGCTCTGCTCCCTGCTCTGGCTCTGGTGACTTCTCTCACCCTCCCGCGCTTCTGACTGTACCCAGTGCTTGTATAAATAAATAAATAAAATCTTTAAAAAATAAATAAAATAAAATAAAATTCCCCTTTAAAAAAAGACCCTAGCAAGGACACAATTTGGACTCATACTTTTACCCTCCGGATTTGCAAGTCTAAAACCCCAAACAGACACGATGAGTTTCTTTTCACCTCATCATGTTCTTAGCTGACGTGGATAAACTACGGCCCTCCACAGCCCCGCAGTCAGACATGACTCAGTGATAAAAAGCAGCTGACACCCACACTGGACGAACCCCAAGTGCATCATGCTAAGCAAAAGAAGTCAGACTCAAAGGCTTACACTGTTACGCTGTGTGATTTTGTCTACAGGACATTCTGGAATAGGCAAAACTTTAGAGAGCAATAACTGATCAGAGGTTGCAGGGGCTCCCATGCGGGAAACAGCTGAACACAGAAGGGCAGGGGGCTTGGGGTGCTGATGAAATGTCCTGTGCGTGACGGTGACACCGCATGACTGCGCATCTCAAAGTTCTTTGCCCTCGATATACTAACAAGGCAAAAATTGGCCACATCTAAGTTATCTCTTAATTAAAACATATATATAAGCCTCCGCAGATTTACTAAACAAAAAATGGGGGTCCCCATGGTTTTTACGCATGTGGCTTCTATGCAGCTGATCAATGCACCGGGGATTCAAAGGCAGAATTTGAGAGAGTACAGGGGACTTTGCTGTGAGGCCCTGGGAGTTAAGCTGTGGATTTACTGGGTACTGAGGATGACTCTGGAGGCTACTCCCTGGAAAGCTACTATAGAAGCACCTGTAGGTGGGTGGGGGGCTGAGGTTTAGGGAGCCTGGCGGGACACCCTGGCCTGTTTCCAGGGGCACCCTCTGCCAGCAGCCACGGCAGCTGCAGGAGCTCCTTGCCTGTCTTTGCGGAGCTGATTACATGCAGAATGGATTGATTGGTGTTGACAGGGAGTTATTTACCCGTCTAATTAATTATGCCAACTGGTTTTCAACGTAATTGCACTTCTCGGGTCACTGAGTAATGAGACTGTACAATTTTCACGCTGCTGCAGGTTTTGGTGGGGAAGCGGCAGGGAGCGGGTGGCGATTGTTCAATAGGTCAAACAGGCACCTGTTCCTCCAGGTCCCCGGGGCCCAAGACCCAGGCACTCTGCCCCTGGCTGGCCCCTCGCACAAGCTCTGGAATCCTACTTGTGCACCTTCTCCCTAGGTAAGCCAGCCTCTGCCTCAGGAGCTCTTAGTCACTTATTCACCTAACAAGCATTGATTGAATGCCTACTATGTGCCAGCCCAAAACTGAGGTGGGCCATGGGGGTGTCAAGACAAAGTCATGGGTTTCCTGTCTCTCCTTCTCCATCCAGTTGTTCACTGTCTACATGGGAGAATTGCGCATAAGCCAGCGATTACAGACTGGGTGCAATTCCCAGCAAGGGTTTTGGAGACAAACCCAAGCTCTGATCACTTACTACACTTACTACCTTCAGCTTTATTTCTCACCCCCTTTGAGGTTCACCCTGAGAAGGATTCAGAAGCGCTGTGGTTTTCAGGTGAACTCTGGGACCAGACTGTGGGTAACTCCTGGCACTGCCACCTCCCCTCCAGGTGCCCTGGGCAAGTTAGGTAACTTCTGCGCTTCAATTTCCTCTGTTCATGGAAAGGAAATGGGACCAGCAGTTACTCACAGGTTCGCTATGAGGACTGAATGAGTTAATGCAGAGAGAGCACTTGGAATAGCACTCGGTGCACAGGGGGCTTCCCCAAACATTAGCTTTATCATATAGGTGGAAGAGGGAAGTCCACTGAGGGCCTGTGATTACCTACCCAACATATTACCCTAAGTTCTTCTGAACACTGTTGTGCCTGATTCTGAAGGCACAGAGGCTTTTTGCCATTGCGCCACTCAAGGAATCAATCACGGGGGGGGGGGGCGCACCCACAACTAGTCAAATCCCCACAGAGACAAGTTCTCTGAGAGCCTTGAAGGCTCAAGAGGAGGGCAATTCAGCTGCTTGGGGATTGTCAAGAAAGTCTCCCTTGCATAGGTGGGGATCAAGAGAGACCTCAAATGCTAAGATAAGGTGGTGAGAACAGAACTTCCTGCTGTGGGGACAGGCTGAATAAAGACAGGAGACTGGACCTCCCACATGGGCAAGGTCAGCCATCCATGAAGGCCTGGGCCCTAAACCAGGGTTCCTCCGTCTCAGCACGGTCAACATTTGAGGCAACTATCAACAGGCCGTCCATTCATTGTAGGAGGTAGCATCACCCTCAGGTTGTGATAACCAAAAATGTCTTAAGACATTTCCAGAACCCCCTGCTAGGGAACGAAACTGCTCAAGGGTGAGAATCATTGCCCTAGAGGAATGGAATTCTCAGGGAGCCCCAACACCACTCACTTGCTAATAGGAGTCCTGCTCCTCATCTTTCCTTCATTGCTGGGTGTCCTCATGACCAGGAGAGACTGCACTTCAGGCCACAGTAAGTCCTCTGTGACCCACAGAGCCTGGAATAGAGGGTTCTTTGATAAGGATTTCTCAACCTGTGAAGGTGTGGCTCCACAGCTGGCCAGGCTTTCTGGTCCAGGAGTGCAATCCCAGGTGGGGAAATTTGTTGGTTGAGTCAGAGGTTCCAATAAGAATAATGACACTTCCTAGAGATGGCATTGCAGAGGAGAAGCAATAAGGGACAAAGATAATGAAAGTCAGCTGTGTGACTTTCACAACAGTTGCTTCCCCTTCCTGGGCAACTATCTCCTCATTGGTAAGCTGGAGAGCTTGCAGTACATGCCAGAGTCCTTCCAGGTAAAGGACTTCTCTTTGAGCAGTGAGTCAATGGTTCCATCTCCTAGGCAAGAGTTCTGTGATCAATTAGTTATGTCTGCCAGGAGCACAGGCAGGGAGGGCAGGGGTGGACAATACATACAGAGTATATTTGCTATCTATTTAAAGGGTTCAAGTAGAATCTCTGGAGTCTGTACGAGGGTAAAAATCTGGGACAGGAGAAATGGGGCTCCTCTTCATCCAGTGGCTCTAGAAGGAAAAGTTCTACTCAAAGATTTTTTTTTTTCCAAATTAAATTGCTCTGCAAGTGAACAGATAGAAACAGCCCCTACAGGCCATGGAGACACCTCTGTCTTGTAGTGCTCTCAAACGTTCGTTTATCTAACAAGGAGTACTAGACCCAGGTGAGAGGGGAATGTCAGCATAGCCTCCTATTACTTTCCTTCTCCCCTACACATATCCTGGAAGTGAGCAGAGGACTCAGATTGCCCTGGCAGCAAGAAGGGAAAGCGTGAGGCTTAGCACAGAGAAAAGCACGTGGGCTTTGGTGTGAGTGCCCAGGACCCGCCACTTTCTAGCTGTATGATCTTGGGCAAGTCACTGTGTCACTCCCTCCTTGATTCCTGGGACCACCTTCCAGTTAGCTACTTGTCCTCCTATCCTAGTCTCAGAGTGTGTCTGGCAGAAACAATCAAAGACACTTAGGAGTCTAGCTATTCCCCCATGGCCTGACCTGCAAAGAGAATGTGGCTTCTCCTTTGGGAGTTTCTTCAAACGTGGAATTACTTCTACACGCCTGCAGCCCCTGCCGCACCCTCGGTGGGTGGGCCCGGACAGGTGCAAGTGCTTCTCCAAGCAGCAGCTCCCATGTCTCAGCGCTGCCCCAAAACTGGCACCTCTCTGGACACTGTTCCAATATGACCATGACAAACACGACACAGGGGAGCGCTAAGAGAGCAGAGTCTTTTCAGAGCACAGAGAGGGCCGGGAACTGGGGGTGTTAACAGGGAAAGGAGTAGAGCCTCCTGAACACGCCTATCTGCCTGGCTGGCATCCAGCCTCCTTCCCCATGTGGGCCAGCGGGTCTCACCATCTTCCCCCCAAGGGAAATTCTTGTCTTTGAACCAATGGCACTTGATCTGAGGAGTGGGAGGGCACCGAGGCCTGGGGTTGACAATGCTGGGGGAGCACCCTCCCCACCCCCCCTTGGTAACAAAGGCCTGAGGGTCTTGGGAAGAGCTGCACAGGGAGCAGGAAAGTCAGCCTTGACCTCCCCCTGCTTATGGGAGGAGAGGAAATCTCCCAGGGCTGAGTGTGCCAGAGCGGGATTGAGCCAGCCTTCCTGGCCTGAGGGCAGGGCGGGTGTCACTCTGTGACACGCCAGCCCTGGCTTCAGAGGCCAATCCCTGGGAAGTATTGCTCAGGACTGCAGCAAACCACTTTCTTGGAGCAGTTGTGAGCGGTGACAGGTAGTCTGGAGGGCTGGGTGCACACCTGACCTGGGAGGCTGTGCGTCCCAAGGGTGCTGGAGCTCCACTCCTCCTCCGTGGTGAGGCCCACTGGCTCCTGACACCAGGAAGCACTCAAGTGCCAGCCTCCGCCCAGGACTCGGGGACAGGGCACCATGAGCCGGTCAAGGCATGTAGGCAAGATCCGGAAACGTCTGGAAGATGTCAAGACCCAGTGGGTCCGGCCAGCCAGGGCCGACTTCAGTGACAACGAGAGTGCCCGGCTGGCCACGGATGCCCTCCTGGACGGTGGCCCCGAGGCCTACTGGCAGGTGCTCAGCCGGGAAGGAGAGGTGGACTTCTTGTCCTCGGTGGAGGCCCAGTACATCCAGAACCAGGTCAAGGAGCCCCCCTGTGCCCCCGAGGAAGGGGCCGAGGCAGGCCCTAAGGAACTGGACTCCCGCTCCCTGCAGTCGGGGACCTACTTTCCGGTGGCCTCGGAGGGCAGCGAGCCGGCCGTGCTGCACACCTGGGCCTCGGCAGAGAAGCCCTACCTGAAGGAGAAGTCCAGCGCCACCGTGTACTTCCAGACAGACAAGCACAACAACATCAGAGACCTCATCCGCCGCTGCATCACCCGGACCAGCCAGGTAACACGGCGGGGGCCGGGAGGCGCGGGGGCTGGTGGAGGAGACAGGGGGGTGCATCCTGCACTGAGCGATGGAGCCCAGATGGTGGGGGCTTGGGATGGAGCCAAGGATGCTGCTCTCGGCCCTGCCCCGGATCTCTGACTTGGGGTCTGGGTACAGTCTGGGTCTGCGTCGCCCCCTCCCTCCCCAGAACTCCCGCAGCACCCCTTGTCTGGCCCGCCTCGTCCACCTCATCCCCCACCGCCCTGGACCACCGCCAGCGGAGAGCTTTTTCTGTGCTGACTCTAGCTCGGTCCCTTCCTGCTGCGCTCAGGCTCTGCGAGGTCATTTGTGGGTAGACAGGTCTAAGCCGAGTCTGAGAAGTTGGGGGACAGATGTGTGCCCCAAGAGAGTGGCCCTTTCATTCAAAGCACAGAGGTGAGACCCCTCTTCCAGCCTGAGGAATTCAGGGAAGGCTTCCTGAGAGAGGCACTTGGGTGCTGGGTGCTGAGAAGTGGGCGTGAGTCAAGTGGAGAGCAGGGAAGGTGAGGGGTCCCGGGAGGGGGAGCAGCACATGCAAAGATCCTAAGAGAGAGCCCCCCGGTGGGTTGGAGAATCTGCAGGTAACTCGGCCTGGACTGGCAGGCGCTGGGAGAGGCGCTGGAGAGGCTGTGAGCCTTGCCAAGGGGCTTGCTCTTCCCATTGCGGCCACTGGGGACCGCGGAAGGCTCTAGGCCGGCCAGGGAGCACAGCCCACTTCCATGGCCGGCCTGCGGCTGGGATCCAGCTCCCTGGCGTCTCTGGGGCAGAAAGTCATCTCCGAGCCCTCAGGCACCTGTGTGAGTGTGTGTGTGCACGTAAGTGGGACAAGGACGTGACAAACTCTACGGGCAAAAGTCTGAGTGGCAAGAAAACAGGTGAAGCAGCTGTGGCGTGAGACAAAGGGGAGCGGTGGGGACTGCAGCAAAGGAGACCCGTCCAGGAGGTGGACACAACTCAGTGCCAGCAGAGCCAGGCCTTCCAACCTGCTAAAAGCAGCTAGAAATTTTTACTTTATGTGAAATCTCCTGATTTGTGTGTTCTTAATTCCATAAGCCACCGCACTGGCGAAGCATCAGCGAGCCTCGGGGCCTCCGAGGCAAGAGAGGAGCCCCGGCGGCGGGGAGCGGTGATGCAGGGGAATGCAGCCAGGGGATTGTGCTCCAGGAGCCTTAACCTGGCTTCTTGCCAGGGTGTCTCACCCACCCTTAGAGCTGCAACGGCTGCTGAGAATGTTTCTAAATATCTTGGGTTCCCACTTCGTGGGGAGCCCTGACCTTCATGCACAGAGAGCAGAGCTAGCACCCTTGGATCAGGCCCTGGAGCCAGCGGGGAGTCTGAGCCTGCGGGAGGTCAAGGGACTGGCCATGGGGAGAGCAGCCAGCCCCAGGCACTTGGCACCCCTGCCTGGCCTGTCAATTCCTAAGGCAGCTGACCCCAGACACGAGAAATGCAGCTCCGAAGCAGCTCAGCCACCCGCAAAGAGGATACTGCACCCACATTCCCTTCTACTTAACTTCCCAGAGCTCTGCTGCCTCCCGCCCTGTGCACACAGAGCCTCCCCACCCCGAGGCTTTTTCTGGAGCCACCAGATTTCACACAGCATGGGGCTTGGGAGAGGCGGAGTCCGCCATGACTCCGGGCCCCTAGCCCAAAAAGTGCGTAACAGCTTGTTCCCTGTGTAGTTCTTTAAACGCAACTACACCGTGTTAGAAGAGACTCTCTAACTGACCAGTTTTTTCCTTGGAGTCCATTCTTTCTCCCTTCCCCACCCCCCAGCCCCGTCCCTCACACTTTGGGAGGGAGCACTGGGCGTTCATAGTCCTGTGCTGAATACTCATTTGGGTACCTGGGGAGAATGAACTAGAGTCCCCCAGCCCATTCTCCTGACTCCAGGGCTTTGGTGCCTGAAGCTGTCAGCCGAGCCAGGACGGCAGAGCAGACCAAGAGGCCTCCCTCCCTCTGGGCCGCTGTCCGTGGGGAAGTGGGAGCAGGAGAGCAGCACATTGGTTGGTGGCAGAGTCAGCCCTGAGCAACCCCTGTGCCTGGAAGTGCAGGGGATGATGACTAAGGCAGGCTTCACAGAAGAGGTGGCCCCTGAGTTGAGTCTCAAAGGCTGAGTAAGAGTTTGCCAGGCAGAGAGGCCTAGGTCAAGTGGTGTGAGAAGTCTGGGAGTCCTGGGGGCAGGTAGACACCATGTTCGTGTGACGGGACAGAGCTTGGGGAGGTGGGACCTCAAAGAGTGTGGGCGGTGGGGACAGGGATGGGAGGCGAGGGGGTGCCGGGAGCAGCCATGCCTTATACTTGGCCCCCAGTGAGTGAGGGTAACAGCGCTCTGTTCTTAAAAATGCCTGAGATTTGTTTTAAGCAGGAACAGGAAGCCATGGAGACAAGAAAATGACAGGAGAGTTTCTACTCATAGCTCCCTAGAGCAGAAGGCAGAGAATGCCGTGCTGGGCCCCACGGGCAGGCAGGAGGCAGGAGAAAGCATGAGTCTTTGCTGTGGTTTTCAGGAAAGGGAACAGTTTTGTGATTAGTTTGAATAATTTTAGCAGGCTCTGGGATATTGGGGTGTCTCCAGTTATCAGGCACCTGGCTTGGGGTGAATGGGGCAGGGCAATATTGGTTTTGGAGTGTCAGCCTTAGATAGCAGAGGCACTTGGTACAGGGGGCTCTGGACTGTGTGGTTGGCACATCAAAGGTGTTTTGGGCAAGATGCTTGCTCTCTCTAGGAATTAGCTGGCCCTGGGATGTCAAAGCATTGCAGATACAAAAAACTCAAAGCATGTTTAATATGCTCTCCGAGGGTGCTCAAGGGCCCCGAGATCCTTCAGTGGACTGTGAGGTTCTGCCCTTTCTAACCACTTACCTGTGAGACCCCCAATTATCTTCATAAATTTCCACCCAAACAACACATCGTGAGGACTGCTGCAGAAGCAGATGAGGGGCCAGCTGGTTTCTGCTTAGTAGACATCACAGAGATTTGCAAAAGTGTAAAGAACACCACTCTGCTCACAACACTTCATAGTTGTGATTGTCTTGGGAGGTGGGAAGATAGAGATTTTTTAAATCAAAACTGCTATTGATATTAATTAACAGGCCATGGGCTCACTATTGTTTTTAAGTAAGATTAGTTATTTGAAAACTGACAGAGGGGCCTCCCCTGGTGGCACAGCGGTTGAGCGCTGGGCTGCAGAGCTGCCCGCAGCCTCTGCAGCGCTGGTTTGATCCCCGGCCACTAGGTGAGGGTCCCACATGGCCACAGACCTCTCCTGCCGCCCGCTGCTCCCCTCAGCAGTGTATTTCGTCAGTCTGCCTGTTTTGTTCCTGGCTCTGGTGAATTCTCTCACCCTCCCGTGCTTCTGACTGTACCCACTGCTTGTAGAGATAAATGAATAAATTTTTAAAAAAATAATATAAAGTAAAATAACTGACAGATATTTTTAAATTTTCTCAGCTTTGAGAAATGAGGTTTCTCATATGACAACCATCAATAGTTATGATCTAAACACAAACCAAAGCTCTTTGGAAACCTTGATAATTTTTGAGGGTATAAAATTGTCCTAAGACCAAAAAGTTGGGGAGTTTTAGCAGGCATGCCCCTCCCCCTCTTCCTTGACACATCACCCAGATTCACAGCAGAGAAACAATGAGTCTGATCAGCCCTCTGGCGCTTGGAGGGTTATTCAGAGAAGGGAGGAGAGAAGTTTCCAAAGAAGCTCCGCTCTCATCCCACCCCACGCTCAGGTGTCAGGGCTAGTGTTTTCAGGCTGAGCCCCTGCTCTGGGAGGGGCTGTCCTCCCCAAAGTGGCAGGACTCCTAGCCCATAGGAGCCCAGGCCTGCCTGCTGGTAGTGAGGCTCAGACAGGATTTACAGTCCCCAAGGAGGACCTCCCAGCATAGGCACTGCCGTTGCACATTGGCGTCCCCCTGACAGGGAAGCATGAATCCCAGCGCCAGCCTTCTGGGTTGTGCTTCTGGGACAACCTCCTTTACTGGGCACTTTCTCCTCCCTCGGTCAGCCCCGGGCTCTGCTGGTCCAAACGACCAGCCTTAACCAGAGCCCTACCCTGTTTCTTTGTTATGCCCGTGGAGGTGCGGCCACTAATTCCGACTTTCAGTTGAGGTAACGCTGGTGTCCAGCACTGCATGCACTCGGGAATACAGGTCCCACCTCTACAGAGGCGTGCTGTCAACCTCGCCCTCCACCTACGGGCCAGGAACCCTCCCTGCACACTCAATTCCATCCATTTCTATAACCTGAATGAAAACATTCGTGCACACTGTTTGTGTTCTGGCACCGTCCACGCTGGCTCACAAGTGGTGCACAGAAGAGTCATATTTGAACTTCTCACTGGAATAGCAGCTTTCACTTTCTCATATGCTTTCATTTGCATTATCTGGGCTTGGAATTAGACCCACCGAGCAGTGCAGGATGCTCTACTATTGGGTGGTGATTTATAGGTAAAGAAACTGAGGCAAAAAAAAAAAAAAAGAAGAAGAAGAAACTGAGGCTCAGAAAGATTAAGTGACTTATCCACAGAACACTCAGCTCATTTCCAGGAGCCCCAGGGTGGGAGCCGAAGGCCCTTCCCCCCAGCAGACCACTTTGCCTCTGGGCTCGGTGCCTCTCCTGCCTTCACTTCCCAGGCTGATGTTGCAAATCACCTGACATTTGGTGGCTCAAAACCATGAAAACTAATTCTCCCCCAGTTCTGGAGGCCAGAGCCCAAGTCGAGGGGGTCAGCAGGGCCTCTGAAGGCTTTTGGGGAGGGTCCTTCCTTCCTCTCCCACCTCCTGGTGGCTTCAGAATTCGGGGAGCGGTGGCTGAATCTCTCTAGTCTTGCCTCCTCCCAGCGTCTCCCCACTGGGAGTCTCCCCTAAGGATACTTGTCATTGGAATTAGGGTGTCGACCTGAGAAAAACACAAGCAGGCTGAAATAAAATAATTATGTTTCCTGGGGTCTTAGATTTGTAATCAG